GGGAGATTTTGGGGCTTTTTCGGGGTGAATTCCGAGGATTTGAGGGAATTTGGGGAGTTTTGGGGTGGATTTGGGGGATTTTGGGGTTCCCGAGTTGAATTTGGGGAATTTTGGGGCTTTTTAGGGTGAATTCAGGGGATTTAAGGAGTTTTTGGGATGAATTAGGGGATTTGGGACAATTTTGGGGTGAATTCGGGTATTTTGGGGTTTTTTTGGATGAATTCGGGGGATTTTTGGGAATTTGAGGAGTTTTTGGGGTGAATTCGAGAGATTTTTGGGCAATTTTGGGGTGAATTCGGGTATTTTGGGGTTTTTTGGGGGCGAAATCGGGGGATTTTGAGCAGTTTTGGGGTGAATTCGGGGATTTTGGGGCTTTTTTTGGGATTAATTCGGGCGATTTTTGGGAATTTCAGGAGTGTTTGGAGTGAATTAGGGGATTTCGGTTTTTTGGGGGGGCGAATTCGGGGGATTTGGGGGAATTTGAGGAGTTTTTGGGGTGAATTCGGGGATTTTGGGGTTTTTGGAGGGTGAATTCGGGGGATTTAGGGCAATTTTGGGGTGAATTCGCGTATTTTGGGGTGTTTTTGGGGTGAATTCGGGGGATTTTGGGCAATTTGGGGTGAATTCGGGTATTTTGGGGGTTTTGGGGGGTGAATTCGGGGATTTTGGGGTGAATTCGGGGGATTTGGGGCAATTTTGGGGTCCCGTTACCTCCATGGCTCCGGAGCGGCTCCGAATCCGGGCGGGGGTGGGGGAGGGGCGGCCCGGGGGCCCCTTTTGGGGGGGAGGGGGAGGGACCCCCGGCCCTGCCCTTTTTTGGGAGAAAAATCCCAAAATCCGCCCTTTTATCTTCCAAAAAAACCCGGAATTTCACTTTCTTTTTTTTTTATTTATTTTTAATTACTTTATTTTGCCGTTTTACACCAACAAAAAATTCAGATTTTCTAGCGGGAGCGGGGGGCACATCCCGGATTTGGGGATTTTCGTGGCATAAAATCCGATTTTACATTTTTTTGGGGGAGTAAATTCACTTTTCCAAGCCTGAATTCCCTCAGACTTGGCCAAAAACGGGGAAAAAACCTCAAAATTCGCCCCTAAATGGAGAGAAAATGCCAAATTTTGTGGCTTTCTGGGGGTTGTGTCCCCTTTTTTCCCATTTTTTCCCCGATTTTCCCATTTCCCCCCCGATTTTCCCATTTCCCCCCCGATTTTCCCCCTTTTTTCCCTGATTTTCCCTCTTTTCCCTCATTTTTCTCTCCTCCCCACCCAGATTTTCCCGATTTTTCCCGATTTTCGCCCTTTTTGAAGGGAAAACACCCCCGCCCCGCCCCTCCGCGGCACCCTCATCATTTCTGAGTTTTTTTTAGGGAAAAAACCCCAAAATTCCCTTTTTTAAGCGAAAAACGCTCTGTTTTGAGGGAACATCAGGAATTTGGGGGTTTCCACGGGAATTTTTTTGCTTTTTTTGCGGAATTTTGCCTCTTTAATAAAAACCCAACCTCGACTCCGCGTGCGTGACGTGAAAAGGCGCTGAACTCTGCGGCTTTGGGTGAAAATCCCCGAATTTGATGATTTTAGAATGAACAAATCCTTAATTTGGGGGTTTTTAACGGGAAAAAATTAATTTTGTTTCCCCCATGTGGGGGGGGGGCAACCCCCCCCCCCAATTTCGCCCCTTCACGAAGAAAACCCGCCCCGGCAGAGCGGACCCACCCAAACTCCGCCCCTTGGCTGGGGAAACGCCCCGAATTCCACGTTTTTATCGTGAAAAAACCCCCAAAATTCGCCTTTTTCTGGGTAAAAAACCCGGCGGGCGGCGCTGGCGCCCCCTAGCGGCTCGGAGGTCCCCGCGCAGCGCGGCGGGACGCGCCGCCACAAGATGGCGGCCGCGCGCGGTGCGCGCCGGGAGTCGTAGTTCAAACCTCATCGCTGATACACGGCCCCCCTCGCTCAGCGACTACAGCTCCCGTCACGCACCGCGCGCCGGCCGAGGCAGAAAATGGCGGCGCGCCGCGGCGCACGCCGGGAATCGTAGTCCGCCCCGCCCCGCCGCCAACGGAAGAGGCGGGGCTAAAGGACTACCAGCCCCGTCGCCCCCCGCGGCCGCGCATGCGCCCGGGGCGGAAGTCGGAGGCGGGGGCCGCGCGCGTGGCGTCGCCTCAGCGTCTGTTCGGGGAGGCCGCGCGGGGCTCGCGGGTTCTGTCGCGACAGAGCGGAGCTGTCGGCGATAGAGGAGCAGGTGAGGGCCGGGGG